GAGCAGGTGTGCATGCTGTAGGCACCCAGTCATCTGATTTGGTGCAGGTGGTATCGAAGCTGGTGTCAGCTATCGATCGTTCTGGTTTGATTGCAGGTACAGGACAACCGCAGGCGATGCTCTGCCAGTGGTGCGAGAGCACCCATCACATTGTGGAAGACTGCCAAGCGATGAAGGAATCGACAACACCCCAGGAGCATGTGAACTTCATCAACAATGTTAGGCGCAACGACCCCTACAGTAACACCTACAATGAGGGGTGGCGCCAGCATCCTAACTTCTCCTGGGGTGGGGCAAATTCCAGACCACCAGTTCCCCAGGGACCACCGGGCTTCCAGAGGCCACCATATCAGCCCAGACAGGGGCAATTCCAGCAGCAGCAGTCTCTCTACCAGCCCATGCAGGGGCATGCTGCTCCATCACAGCCGCGACCTTTCCAGCAGCCAGGTGCAGCCCCTGCCGCCCCAGTGCAAAATGATCAGATGGCTGAACTGCGGGAATTGGTGGGATCTCTCGCCAGTTCTAGTGCTCAGAAATTCAACACTATAGAGCAGTTCATGGAAAAGGCATCAAGTAAATTCCTGGCTCTTGAAGCTGGCCAGAGGAACACACAGGCTGTCTTGCAGGATATCCAAACCCAGCTGGGGAGTGTGGCTCAAGCAGTGGCACAAAAGGCTCCTGGTACCTTGCCCGGTCAGACCATTCCTCACCCTCAGAACCTGAATGAGCACTGCAATGCCATCATGACCAGGAGTGGCAAGATGACAGTTGATCCACCTGCTCGGGCACAAGAGAGAGAGAGGCCCCTTCCTCGGCATCTCCAGCAGTTGAAGAAGAAGTAGAGAAGGAGGTTGAGGTGCCTGCACCTAAACCGCAACCAGTAGTGAAGGAAGTATATCCCTAAACTCCCCTTCCCTACTCGGTTGCACAAAGACAGGCTGGAGGCAGAGTTCGAGAACTTCATGACCATGCTTAGGAAGCTGAATGTCCAAGTGCCTTTCCTGGAGGCACTATCTCAAATGCCTAAGTATGCGAAGTTCCTGAAGGATCTTCTCTCAAAGAAGCAGAAGCTGAGCGAGCTGGCCACTGTGGAGCTCAGCGAGGAGTGCTCGGCCATTCTGCAGAACAAGCTTCCGCAGAAACAGAAGGACCTAGGTAGTTTTACTATCCCGTGCTCTATAAAGAATTTGCATGTAGAGAGGTCCTTGGCGGATTTAGGTGCTAGTATCAATGTTATGCCGTATAAACTGTTTAAGAAACTAGGCCTAGGTGAACCCCGTGCTACTAGGATGAGCCTTCAATTAGCTGACCGATCTGTCGTGCATCCTAGGGGCATAGTGGAAGACCTTCTGGTTAAGGTTGGCAAATTCAATTATCCTGTTGATTTTGTGATTTTGGACATAAATGAGGATATGAATGTGCCATTGATACTGGGAAGGCCTTTCCTGGCCACCGCCAAGGCCCTCATAGATGTGCATGATTGGACCTTAGTTCTAAGGGATGGTGAGGAGCGAATAACATTTTCAATTTCTAATACTCTTCCTGCTTCATCACCTCTGCATGCTGTATCTCACCAGGTGCACGAGTCTGTCGTGTATCCTTCTGTGTTGCCTATTTTGCAGGATCCGCCTCCCATACCTTCGCCGCCACTCCCATCCACTCCATCACCGAAAGAGCAGATAAGGGAGAAGTGGCGGCCGAAACAGCAGGCATCTAAGCCTGCTCGAAAGAAAGCCGGAGACCACTATGAGCTGGTCCTACCCCCACCTTGGCCATCCGAGTATTCACTCGCTTGCATCCTGCCGGATGGCCAAGTTGAGTTGGCAAATGCTGGTGGCCACATTCGGCGTGTGCATGGCCACCATTTGAAGTTGCACCTCAAGAGCGAGGTGGATCTGCTCTTGAAGGCACCTGCTCCTTCACCTCACTGAGCATCCACCGACTGGCGTCCAGCTAAAAGACGGTAAAGAAGCCCTTGTGGGGAGGCAACCCCACCTAGGTTTGCATTTTCTTACCTTTTTCTTTTTGATTTTTTGTGTTTTTTGAGTCTTGAGATGTTGTTCCAGAGTCAAATGTCGTTTTTGAGTGAAAACAGGTTGATTTTGGGGCTCCAGCAGTTCACACGGCCAAGCCTTAAACTCACACAGCCGTGTGGAATCTTTCCATTGGCCGTGTGAGCTCTCGACAATTTCCACACGGCCAAAAGTGCACCTTGCACGGCCGTGTGGATTGGCCTGGCCTGGCAGTGTGGCCGACACGGGCAACGCGTTTTGTGTCACGGCCGTGTGGGAATTTGCCCTGGCCGTGTCTGCTCTCGCAGAATTTGGCACGGCCAAATGAGCACTCGGCACGGCCGAGTGAAATTCCTCGGTCAGCCCGTGTCGGCCGGCACGGGCAAAAGCGCTCTTGACACGGCCATGCGTGTCTGGCCGTGTGGCCGAGGCACGGCCTATATATTCGGCCAGCACGGCCGGGTCGTCAGAAATTTCAAATTCCTCGCCGGAATCCTCTGTTCCTCGCCGGAAAACCGCGCCAAAACCCCACTTTTCGATTTTTTCGGCCATTTTTTGTCATTTTTCCACCAAACCAACAACAAACCCACCCTTCCTACACCAAAAGCGGCCTATCCCTCCATTTTGGGGAGATTTGGCCCACGTTTTTGTCGCCGGAGGTGATTTCCGGCGAGACTCCGGCGAGGCTCCGACGAGCACTTCCGGGCACTTTTTCGGCGTTTCGTCGCTTCCATCGCCTTCCCCTCATCATCCCCTACACCTCTACTTGAGTCTCCAGGTTTGATTTTGCCTTTAACTATGTTAATTGTGGAGAATTGGGTGTTAGGGTGCATGTTTAGAGAACCTCATTGAATCTTGTGATTTTTGTGCAATTGATTGAGGGGAATGCATGGAGTGTGTTTGAATTGTGTTGGGCAAAGTCCCTCTTGATTGTTTGAGCCCTTGTGTGCAAGAATTGTGCCAATTTCATGCTTACCTTAATAGTGCACACAAGGTGTTCGATGAAATGCCTGTTTTTGTACCATTTTGTGGGGGTCGGTTGGGGCCCTTAATGATGTACTTTGAGGGTGTTTTTGGTATGAATGTGAACCTTGAGTGGCCTATTTTATCGTGAATGTGCACCCCCACTCAGATTATGCTTGTATTATCAAGTTCTTGACCCCCGAACTATGGATGAAACCATGGTTAGGCTGTTTTCTGTTCTTAAGTGTGGGGGTGTTCTTAACATTTTCCTTGGCTGTCTTGGTTCCACTCTGGGCTGTTCTTTTGCAGGACCATGTCGAAGCCCAACCTCCGGCATCAATATGTTCAAGATTTGAGAAGGGCGCCCCACCGGGATCATTTTCAGAACGTCCTGGCCTGCTTGTGCTTGACCGTTTCCAGGGGCATTTGAGCTCGAATTGGATGCATCGATTCAGGTTGAATCGACTCCACCTGAGTAATGGGAGAGCTTATCCAAGCCACAGGGAATGTGCTGGCACCACTGGATTGGATCGACGTGGTCTCCAGGTCTCCACCCAATCTCTGTCACGCCGTTGACGAGCAACAGAGTGGCTTCTTCCCGTGCTGGGGTGGGTTCCGTTCTCGTCGTATAGTAGTAAGTATGAGCTTGCGCGCAATTAGACTCGTTCTCGTACCTTTTCCTTCCTTTTCTTGAGCCCGATTGAGCTCCAGCTGCCTTTGATCTTCTCGTATAGTGATGACTCGGTATTTGCACATGTTTTCCCCTTTGTTTCTTGATTGTTTGAGCTTGAATTATCGTGTCTTTGGCCTATTTTATGCTAGGTTGTTTCCTTTGTCACATTTCAGGTCCTAGCACATAAAGTGAAGCATAGGCGCAAGTTTCAAATCAATCAGAGATCAATTGACGATTCGGGAGAAGAAACTCGGGCATGACCTGAAGAAGAATGGATTTATACCTCAATTTATGGACAAATAATCATGCAAGCTTGTTCTGAAAAGAAAGAGGACGAGACTACGAGCGTCTGGGATCAAACGGGGAGTGATTCGGAGTCCGGACGAGGGAGAAACGAGGCATTAAATAGAGGCTGAGCAAGCCACACGGGCACGACCCACACGGCCGTGTGAACTGGCCATGTGGCCGTGTGGAAATCACCGAGGGCTCACACGGGCAGCTGGGAAAGCCACACGGCCGTGTGGCCTGGCCGTGTGAGTCGGGAATTGCTGTTTAAAACCCGATTTTCAGCAAAAGGAAAGGGGGAGAGCTGGGTTTTGGATCCCAAACACCCAAGGGACGAACCCTAGAGAGAGAGAGCGACTTGGGAACATTCTTGGAGCTATTTTGGAGGATTTCTTCGCCATTGGAGCTCGGGAATCAAGCTTGGAGATGGAGATTGAAGATCTAGATCAGATTTCTGCAGTCTCTCTCTTCTCTATGGAGTAACTTCCCTTCACTTAGGTTTTGAGGAACCCTAGTTCCATGAGTTAGGATCTTTCTTGTATGACGTTTTGGATGCTATATTGTTTGATTATACTCGAATGATGCATGTTTATTGAGTCAATTGAAGTCTGATCAACTTTTCCTGATTCCTGCTGCAATCTGAGATAGATAGTATCTGATTAGGTTGCTAGAGTCTCATCATTCGGTAGTAGGAGATTGGCTATACGAGAGTTTGCCAGTTTACTGCTTTGTACTGGAATCCAATTCCAGTAGTGGAGTTCTGTGCTTATTGCTTCAGCTTTCTATCCCGGTGAAGACTAGTCGTCTGCCGGATAGTTAGACTGAGAGGGCTTGGTCAGCTTAAGAGATTCCAAGCTACTGTCGGATCTTCCGCAGTTTAATCAACAGTAAAACAACCAAAAGGAATTACAACTTGGACCTAATTGAGGAGCTAGGGGGAATCATACGTAAGTGAGTTCCCAAACTGTAATTAGTAGTTTTCCTTAGTTTAGTTAGTAGAGTAGTTTAGTTAATCAATCCTTAATCTAGTTTGCTAGATAATGAACTGAAGCTGAGTAATAGTAACTCTAGAGACCCGTGGATTCGATATTTATTACTTGTGCCACTATACTGCAGTCCCTTTCATTGGTTACACTTGGCCATTGTTAGGTGTTGTGTTTTAGAGAATCAAGTTTTTGGCGCCGTTGCCGGGGACTTTCTAGAGTATTAGGAAAGGCAGAAGTTTGTTACTTTAGCGTTTTTCTTTTCTTTTCCACCCTTGCTTTTCACTTGGGTGTTTTTGTTTTTGTTGGTGCAGATCTGAATCATGGATCCTCATGGCTTCTCCAACCATTGGGGGTATCCACCACCATCCGGGTGGTATTACCCTGAGACTCCCTACAGCAATCAAGGAGGAGAAGACTATGGATTCGGGTTCCAGTACCAACCCCCTTACTACGGAGAACAATCAGACCCCTGGGCATATCAAGAACAACCTCATTACCAAGAAGACTTTCTCCCACAACCAGAAGGGCCATCGGAGCTGGAGTTACCCATGGCGGCCTTCACGGGCCACTCTGCAGAGCCATGCTATACTTCACTGGAGGATCCGAACGAACAACTAAGGCTTCTCGTGGAGCAGTTTGCTCGAGACACTGAGAAATCATGCTCCAAGATGGATCTTCAAATCAAAGCCCTTGCCACTTCCGATCCCTCATTTCTCCATGATATGGAGGAGACTGTTCAGCGCTCAGCGAAGCAAACAGAGTGGGTGAAGCAAGTTTGCTCACATCTTGCTCAAGATCACCTTTCTGCTACCACGCTAGAAGAGGTGGAGGATGACAAAGGCTATGGGAGCGTTGAGGAGCATACAGAAGTTATCACAGAGAACTCCCATGATAACCATGATCAGGAAAGTCCTTTGGTTTCAGACCACACCTTTCCTCATTTATGCTCTAACATGTTGGGCCCGTGCGAGGAGATGCAAGATGATCCCATTGAAGAAATTGCTTGGCGACTTGCTCTCCAATCTGTTCTAGAAGAAGAAGAGCGAGCAAGGATGAGGAAGGAAGTTGTGGATGATGAGGAAGAAAGAAAAGAAGAGGTGGTTCTAGATCTTTTCCCAGGGGAGAGACCACATTTTGAAGAAGGAAGGGGGGTTGAGGAAGCAATTGGCGTCCAGGCTGAGGATGAAGTTGAGGTGGAAGAGGCATGCACCGGCCATGAGTTGCAAGTAATATCCCCACCAAACTTTGAGGAACTGCTTGGCAAGGACCCATTTGCAGTGTCTCTTTGCCAGACCAAGGCCACATCGACATTGGTCCCTCTTGGTGGACGCGATGGTGGTCTGTCGATGCTGTCATATCTGGTTTGGGGCAATGAGACGAAAGAAGAGAAGAAGAGGTCTCGAGGCTGGAGACTTCATCTGCATCAAGTACATGAGCCTTCATCACCTGCCACACCACATGCTCGTGACTTGAGACTCCACCTCATCGACGAGAACCTCAACTTCAAGGAGGTTCTAGCATGGACCGAAACTTAGGAGCCATCGTCCGGCTCACGACGTGAAAGAAGCGCTTGTTGGGAGGCAACCCAACCAGTCGGTTTGCATTTCTTTCTCTATTTCTACTCGGTTGAGTCAGTTTTGTTATTTGATTTTAGAGTCAATAACTCAACCTTTGTGAGATTTTGTGTGGTGTTTGCGTTCTGATTACTCTCTCTTCCTGGAATGCACCGCCTGACCCGTCCATCATCATTCACCCTTGATCTGGTAACTTCGTTCTACCCTCCTTATCTTTCGTCCATTGAGGACAATGTCGTGCTGAAGTGTGGGGGGATGTTCGATTATGTATGCGGGTGAATGTTTGGCTGTTTGTGTGCTTGGAGCCTAGTCCACTGTCCAAATTTTTAAATTTGAGGGCTCCAAGTACGTGTTGCCTTGTAAATTGCCTGCTCAGTATGCTTTGAATTGACAGTCTCTATAGTAATGTGCAACCTAGGGAGGTAGTGTAGCACTATGGAGGATGTTGAAGTATAAGATTTTTCCTATGTAGCTCTCTGTTGTGCCAGTTGATTTTGTGAATTAGTGGAGCTAAGACCGTTGAATTCATGTGGTAATGGTGACTCTGTTTGGATTATGTTATGGACTCGTGTATCGAACAGGGTGCTCATATGGAAAATGGGAAGCAGTTGGTCCTCCATGTCAAAATCATTAAATCTTAAACATGGGGTAAGCCCAACGTGTGCGGCACCGTTCATTGCACGAAATCGGGTTTTGGAGGAGATTTTAGTGATTATTAGTGGGGTACTCCTACAAGGTGAAGCTAAGTTGTCTCTAGTACAAGTAAAACTTCCACCCGTTGAACGGTTTGCCTACTTGAGGATGTGTTTTTAAGGGCACGGATAGAGCTTTCGACCCCCCTTAATTTCATTGACCCTCCACACGAGTTGAGGAAAAGGAGTTAAAAGGAGTACTCTGGCGAGCTCCAGATGTACAGAAATTGCTCTTGCTCGACTAATAAGGGTCGACCGTGCAAAAGACTGCAGTTGGAGCCCCATCAAATGAAAGAAAAAAAATGTAAATGAAAGTGAGAAAAAGGGGTTCCAACGGTGAAATGAAGTGAAAGAGCACCCCGGTACAACGAATCCTTGGTTGTGAATGGTGTGAGTCCCTTTATCCATGAATTGACTGTCTTACTTCTACTTTTTCTCATGATCCTGGCTTGAGTCTAGTACTCGCATTGAGAGAGATAGGGAACGTCTTAGAAGACCAGTTGACCTCGTAAGCTGCTATATGAACTAGGAAATCCTCTACCGACGATAGGGGTTGTATGTTGCTATAGAGCTCTGGAGAGCTGCATTGGTTTGAGTTAGGTTTGCTTGGGGACAAGCAAACAGTTAAGTGTGGGGGGGATTTGATGACTCGGTATTTGCACATATTTTCCCCTTTGTTTCTTGATTGTTTGAGCTTGAATTATCGTGTCTTTGGCCTATTTTATGCTAGGTTGTGTTCCTTTGTCACATTTCAGGTCCTAGCACATAAAGTGAAGCATAGGCGCAAGTTTCAAGTCAATCAGAGATCAATTGACGATTCGAGAGAAGAAACTCGGGCATGACCTGAAGAAGAATGGATTTCTACCTCACTTTATGGACAAAGAATCATGCAAGCTTTTCATGAAAAGAAAGAGGACGAGACTACGAGCGTCTGGGATCAAACGGCGACTTATTCGGAGTCCGGAGTCTGGAGTCTCAACTAAATTGCTCAAGACCCTCTCAGTTCGAATGCCCGGCGTAAGCTAACTTAGGTAATGAGATTTAAACGTCCACTACTGGATTCTACACCAGTACAGAGTAGTGAATCTACTCCTAGACTAAACTAGTCTATTCACTACTTCCAATTCAGGATGCTCTATCAACCTAAGCAGAGACTATCATTCTAGGTCAAAGCTGAAACTACAAGAATGTAATCAGGATTCAAGCAATTCTGAATAAAAACCTCGACTGAATATAAAATGTCAATCAATTATGAATTCGAGTTCATACAACTCTTCCTAGCATACAAATCTAGGGTTTCTCAAAACCTAAGTGAAGGGAAGCTACTCTATAGAGAAGAGAGAGAATACATTATAACTTTCCAGATCTTAAATCTTCATGTATGGGCTTGTTCCACAAGCTTCCAAAGCGAAGAAATCCTCCAATTACACTCCAAGATCACCCTCCAATTGCCCTCTCTCTCTCTCTCTCTCTCTTTTGTTCGTCCCTTGGGTGTTTGGGAACCAAAACCCAACTCCAAAATAGAATGGCATTCAATTCCCCGTGTTCTGCTTGTAACAGCCCGAGTTGCGCGTACCCGGCCTAATTACCCGGTCGGGTATTTGGAGAACCGACCGGGGTTTATAAAAAAATGTAGTGCAACCAATGGTCAACGAGGGTGATTTCCCCAGCCTCGAGTTGGAATCCCCGATCGGGTATTATGGGTCACCGACCTGGGGGTCTCCTGGACGCCTTGCCCGACCTTAGATGCAATTACAGGGTCAAGGGTGAGATGGTCTAGTCAGGTATTTTGGTCCTCAAACTCCACTTTTCGTCCACTCTCCGTTTTTTACCTGAAACTCGTTCTCAAGCCTCCATTTCCGCTCCAGGTCCTGAAATATGATTGATAGACCGTTAATTACACATGTTTTCACCCCTGTTCTTACACCGTTTGAGATGTGGTTTCTCGTGTTTTAGGCCGATTTCACGCTAGGTTGTGTTTGTTTGTGATATTTCAGGTCCTAATACGTGAATGGAGGCTTGGGAGCGAGTTTGGGGTCGATTGGACGAAGATCGGGCGCGAGGCAAGTCACAAAGGAGGCCACACGGGCACACCCACAACTCACACGGCCGTGCAAGTGACCACTTTGGCCGTGTGAGATTGTGCGAGAGCAAACACGGCTTGCCCTGATGTCTACACGGCCGTGTGAAGGAGTGGTTTGGCCGTGCGAGTTTCGCCGAGAGCAAACACGGGCAGATGGAAATCTCACACGGCCGTGCGACCCTGGCCGTGTGAGAAGCCTGAAGATCGAACTAATTGGAACGCAGCGTTTTGACTCACACGGGCAACTGGGTATGCCACACGGCCGTGTGGCCCTGCCCGTGTGAGTCGGGAATTCCTGGTTTTAACCCAATTCCGGGCTGCAAGAGAGGGAATCGGACTTTTTGAGCAAAAACAGAGCCCTAGAGAGAGAAAGTACGAAGAACACATCCTAGAAGCTATCTTGGAGCTGGGTTTCATCAAATCAAGCTTGGAGATCGTCATAGGAGTGGAAATCATCATCCCGGAGCAGATTTTCCTCATCATTATGAGTATGACTGCTTTGTATCTTGTTTTCCTCTCTCTCTCTCTCTATGGAGTAGAACCCCTCTCTCACTTGGGGATGAAGAACCCTAGTTTTATGTGTTAGGGATTGATTGTAATGACTTGGGATGATATTACTGTTTGATTTTAATCGAATGATGCATGTTTATTGAGTCAATTGAAGTTTGATCAACTTTTCCTGATTCCAGCTGCAATCTGAGATAGATAGAATCTGATTAGGTTGCTAGAGTCTCATCATTCGGTAGTAGGAGATTGGCTATACGAGAGTTAGCCAGTTTACTGCTTTGTACTGGAATCTAATTCTAGTAGTGGAGTTCTGTTCTTACTGGTTCAGCTTTCTATCCCGGTGAAGACTAGTCGTCTGCCGGGTAGTTAGACTGAGAGGGCTTGGTCAGCTTAAGAGATTCCAAGCTACTGTCGGATCTTCCGCAGTCTAATCAACAGTAAATCAACCCAGGGAAATACAATTGAAACCTAACTAAGGAGATAGGGGGACTCATTCCGAGTGACTCTTTCCTTCTTGAGAAAACCGAATAATTTCCTGCTTTCTTTCTCCTTTTGCTTTTAAACAACAATCACTTACTTTAGTTGGCTAGATAATAGAGAATCACTGAGTAAGCAGTATATCTAGACCCCGGGTTGATAATATTACTTGTCACTTTACTGCATTCCCGGTCTGCGATTACACTTGGTCGCAGATTGGTGTTGTGTTTTGGCGTGTCAAGTTTTTGGCGCCGTTGCCGGGGACTTTCTAGATTATTAGGAAAGGCAGAAGTTTGTTACTTTAGCGTTTTTCTTTTCTTTTCCACCCTTGCTTTTCACTTGGGTGTTTTTGTTTCTGTTGGTGCAGATTTGAATCATGGATCCTCATGGCTTCTCCAATCATTGGGGGTATCCACCACCATCCGAGTGGTATTACCCCGAGACTCCCTGGAGCAATCAAGGAGGAGAAGACTATGGATTCGGGTTCCAGTACCAACCCCCTTACTATGGAGAACAATCAAACCCCTGGGCATATCAAGAACAACCTCCTTATCAAGAAGACTTTCTCCCACAACCAGAAGGGCCATCAAATCTTGAGTTCGCCACAGCCTTCAAGGGCGATCCGGCAGAGCCATGCTACACTCCACAGCCAGATCCAAACTATCACTTGAGGCTTCTCGTGGAGCAGATTGCTCGAGTACCTGAGAGATCCTTTCCCGAGACGGATCCTCATATCCAGGCCATTGCCCAAACTGACTTCTCATTTCCCCGTGAAACAGAGGATACCCTTCGGAGCATAAAGGAACACATAGAGGTCATTAAGAAAGCTTGTTCACAGTTTTCTCAAGACAAACTTTATGCTGCCATAAGTAGAGGTGGCGGAATAAGAAGGCAATCATGAGGATATTGAGGAGCATACAGAAGTTGTAAAGGAAAGCTCCCATGATAATCATGATCAAGTGTATCCTCTGGTGGTAGATCACAACTTTCCCCATTTTCGCTCTGACATGCTGGGCCCGAGCGAGGAGATGCAAGCTGAACTTATTGAGAACCTTGCATGGCGACTTGCTCTCCAATCAGTTATGGAAGAAGAAGAGAGAGAAAGGGTGAGGAAAGAAGTTGTGGAGGATGAGGAAGAAAGCAAAGAAGAGGTAGTTCTTGATCTTTTCCGAGGAGAGAGACCACATTTTGAAGAAGGAAGGGGGGTTGAAGAAGCGAGTGGTGTCCAGGCCGAGAACGAAGTTGAGGTGGAAGAGGCTTGCACCGACCATGAGTTACATGTGCTATCTCCACCAAACTTCGAGGAATTGCTTAGCAAGGACCCATTTGCAGTGTCTCTTTGCCAGAACAAAGCCACATCGAAATCGGTCCCTCTTGGTGGACGCGATGGTGGCCAATCGATGCTGTCATATCAGGTTTGGGGCAATGGGACGAGAGAAGAGAAGAAGAGGTCTCGAGGATGGAGACTTCATCTGCATCAAGTGCACGAGCTTCCATCACCAGTCATACCGCATGCTCGTGACTTGCGACTCCACCTCATTGACGAGAACCTCAACTTCAAGGAGGTTCTAGCATGGACTGAAACTTAGGAGCCATCGTCTGGCTCACGACGTGAAAGAAGCGCTTGTTGGGAGGCAACCCAACCAGTCGGTTTGCATTTCTTTCTCTATTTCTACTCAGTTGAGTCAGTTTTGTTATTTGATTTTAGAGTCAATAACTCAACCTTTGTGAGATTTTGTGTGGTGTTTGCGTTCTGATTACTCTCTCTTCCTGGAATGCACCGCCTGACCCGTCCATCATCATTCACCCTTGATCTGGTAACTTCGTTCTACCCTCCTTATCTTTCGTCCATTGAGGACAATGTCGTGCTTAAGTGTGGGGGGATGTTCGATTATGTATGCGGGTGAATGTTTGGCTGTTTGTGTACTTGGAGCCTAGTCCACTGTCCAAATTTTTAAATTTGAGCGCTCCAAGTACGTGTTTCCTTGCAAATTGCCTGCTCAGTATGCTTTGAATTGACAGTCTCTATAGTAATGTGCAACCTAGGGAGGTAGTGTAGCACTAGGGAGGATGTTGAAGTATAAGATTTTTCCTATCTAGCTCTCTGCTATGTCAGTTGATTTTGTGAATTAGTGGAGCTAAGACAATTGAATTCATGTGGTAATGGTGACTCTGTTTGGATTGTGTTATGGACTCGTGTATCGAACAGGGTGCTCATGTGGAAAATGGGAAGCGGTTGGTCCTCCATGTCAAAATCATTAAATCTTAAACATGGGGTAAGCCCAACGTGTGTGGCACCGTTCATTGCACGAAATCGGGTTTTGGAGGAGATTTTAGTGATCCTTAGTGGGGTACTCCTACAAGGTGAAGCTAAGCTGTCTCTAGTACAAGTAAAATTTTCACCCGTTGAACGGTTTTCCTACTCGAGGATGTGTTTTTAAGGGCACGGATAGAGCTTCCGACCCCCCTTAATTTCATTGACCCTCCACACGAGTTGAGGGAAAGGAGTTAAAAGAAGTACTCTGGCGAGCGCCAGATGTACAAAAATTGCTCTTGCTCGACTAATAAGGGTCGACTGGCAAAAGACTGCAGTTGGAACCCCTGCTAAGTGAAAGAAAAAAAACAAGGAAAATGTGAATGAAAGTGTAAAAAGGGGTTCCAACGGTGAAATGAAGTGAAAGAGCACGCCGGTACAACGAGTCCTTGGTTGTGAGTGTTGTGAGTCCCTTTGTCCATGAACTGACTGTCTTACTTCTACTTCTTCTCATGATCATGGCTTGAGTCTAGTACTCACATTGAGAGAGATAGGGGACATCTTAGAAGACCAGTTGACCTCGTAAGCTGCTATATGATCTAGGAACTCCTCTACCGACGATCGGGGTTGTATGTTGCTATAGAGCTCTGGAGAGCTGCATTGGTTTGAGTTAGGTTTGCTTGGGGACAAGCAAACAGTTAAGTGTGGGGGGGATTTGATGACTCGGTATTTGCACATATTTTCCCCTTTGTTTCTTGATTGTTTGAGCTTGAATTATCGTGTCTTTGGCCTATTTTATGCTAGGTTGTGTTCCTTTGTCACATTTCAGGTCCTAGCACATAAAGTGAAGCATAGGCGCAAGTTTCAAGTCAATCAGAGATCAATTGACGATTCGAGAGAAGAAACTCGGGCATGACCTGAAGAAGAATGGATTTCTACCTCACTTTATGGACAAAGAATCATGCAAGCTTTTCATGAAAAGAAAGAGGACGAGACTACGAGCGTCTGGGATCAAACGGCGACTTATTCGGAGTCCGGACGAGGGAGAAACGAAGCATTAAACAGAGACTGAGCAAACCACACGGGCACAACCAACACGGCCGTGTGACCTGGCCATGTGGCCGTGTGGAAATCACCGAGCCTTCATACGGGCAGCTGGGAAAGCCACACGGCCGTGTGGCCTGGCCGTGTGAGTCGAGAATTGCTGGTTAAAACCCGATTTTCAGCAAAAGGAAAGGGGGAGAGCTGGGTTTTGGATCCCAAACACCCAAGGGACGAACCAAAGAGAGAGAGGGCGATCTGAGGGCATTCTAAGAGTGGAATTGGAGGATTTCTTCGCCTTGGAAGCTCGAGGAACAAGCCCGGACTTGAAGACTGATCATCTGAAGATTCTTACTGCAGTCTCTTTCTTCTCTATGGAGTAACTTCCCTTCACTTAGGTTTTGAGGAACCCTAGCTATGTTTGTTTGACTGGATGATTGTATGAGTACTCTGACTTGATAATCTTGAGTTCATATTCAATCTATGCATGTTTTCATGATTCAATTCTGCTTTAGTCGAGATTATTGATTCTGCTTTGATCCTATGAGAGGGAATACCTGATTAGGTCAATAGAGCACCATAGATTGATAGTAGTGGATCGATTGCTTTAGTCGAGGGTTGATTCACTGCTCTGTATCGATTGAGAACTTCTTTCGATAGAGGGAGTCTAGTTCAGAACGCCTTGATCAGTTGTTCTAGAGAAGGATACGTCCCTCTAGGCAATTGACTCAAGAGGGCCTTGTTCCTTTAGTCGAGACTCAAGGTCTAGTCAAGGATTCTCCGCATTGTGAATGAAAGTGAAACAAGTTAGAAATCATCAATCGTTAGTCTGGCCAGTGGCTAGGGGGAATCATACCTAAGTGAGTTCCCAACCTGTAATTAGATTAACTTTAACTGTAGTTTGCTAGAGTAGTTTTAGTTCTTTCATCTTAATCTGGTTTGCTAAATAATAAACTGAAGCTGAGTAATAGTAACTTTAGAGACCCGTGGATTCGATATTTATCACTTGAGCCACTATACTGCAGTCCCTTCCATTTGTTACACTTGGCCATTGTTAGGTGTTGTGTCATAGCGAGTCAATGACATAAAAGTAGAAGAACCTAGCGTGAAATTGGATTAACATACGAGAATCGATCCTCAAAAGATGTAAGAATGGTGGGGAAAAGATGTGCAAATATTGAGTTATCACATTGTCAAATTATTCAAACCATTCTCATGATGAGACAATGTCCAAGATAAGAGTAAACCTAAATACGAAGGGATTTTAATGGTTTCTAAGTTTGATATTTGGTGTGATCAAATAGTGTATTTTCAGAATACACGTTAGAAATCACCTATGTGAGTGTGAAATCGAGCCGCTTCCAGGAAAATGAAAGAAGGCCAGTTCTAAGCACTCATGAGACCAGATGGTGTTCATGGCTAAAACCAACACAACAATGACAACCAGTGAACATATAATAGTTAGTTGTGTTACATATTGTCTTAGTATACAAGCAAAACCGATGGTTCAAAGATATCACATCTACCGATCGGTGAGTATACTCGATTGATGGATTGTTGGAATTTTTAATGGTGTGAATGGGAATAAAAGTGGTATGATTCAAGATATACTCTTGAAGTACCATGTTTGTAAGATATGAGAAGGTGCGGCCGCGAATTCGATCGATTTGATGTAATATGTTGGTAATCGATACCATTGGTTTGTGTAACCAACCAGACCAATGTGGCAGAATTGAATCCAACCGAACCGATGTGGCAGTAGGAATAACCAAACCGGTCCAAGTTCCATAGGCTGAATCGATGCAATGGTTTAGAAACTACAAACGAACCATTGCAATGGTTGGGGTGTAACCATCCATACAAAGAGTTGACTCACTTCGTACGCACCCCTTCTTTCTCTATAAATAGCACCTATACCCTCTAATTTTGACATATGTTTTTTCCATACCAAAACTCTGCTAAAATCCAAAATGGTGTTTGTGTTTATGCATTCTTTCTAAAAGAGAAAATCGAGTTAAGTGTGGTTCTCACCGTTTTGCTGCGTTCGATGGTTTTCAGGGTTTGAGGTATCGCTACGCTGGAAATGTACGCCCTTTCTATCTCGGGAGAAATCATTCCATAACCTTTGGTACTGGAGGGGAATAAAATTCTTTAAGAATAGACATTAAATTATGTCGGTTAAAACGATTGCATTTATTTGCAAAATTTTCGTGATTATAGCCGATAATTTTGGTAAATTTGCCTCAAAAATGGCCATTGGGATTTCTTGTCATTGATTACATTCCTTAGTACATAAAGCGAGTTTTTGAGATATCCCACAGCGAGATCAGTTGGCTTCTAAGGGGTCGTTTGGAAGTTGCGATTGTTAAATAGATGTATTGTTGAGAATGCATGTATAATATCATACATGTATTGTCGAATTTGATACATTGTAGAATACAACGTTTGGTATGTGTGATTGTGTATGTTGCATCAGCTAAAAGCTGAGACAAAACAATCTCAACTCAATTATCTCAACAATCACAACTAAAAGTTGAGATATAACAATCACTCAAAATGAGTGATAGTTTCTATCACATCATAGAAACAATCTATGTATTGTTTATGCTAAAAAAACAAAAAAACAATGCATTGTAAACAGTACATGCATAATGACAATCTCAACATCTCAACAATCGCAACTTCCAAACGACCCCTAAGCCACTAAGCCACTGTTCTAATTCAGCAAACCAATTTTCATTGCAATCCTCGGTATTCGAAAAACAAGCAAACCAATTTTCATTGCAATCCTCGGTATTCGAAAAACAAGACGTCTAATTGTCTACCACCAGCTCCAGTTAATGGAAATGGGGGGCTAATGGAAAATCCTCAAATTGATAACAGTTAAGGAAGAACTTGGTGTCACTTAAACATTCTAGAACTAGAATTATAGCTCACTATCTTTTGGAGATGCAGTCTCTCCACTCTTTGTCTTCCCGTTCACTGCAACAAGTTCTGTGTCAAATATCAATGTTGCTCCACCTGAAAAATCCCAAACAGCAAAAATGGTTACTGTCTAGTCAACCAGACACTGGGGTTTCAAGGCTCAAGAAGCAACTTGGTAAAAGCTAGGTTAAAATGACTTTCATCTATACACACGCGTTCACAAGAGCTCCAGAATTGTTTGTGCAGACTAACATATTATCAAATCTGTGGGTCCCCCAGACCCAAAGATTTAAGGGCAACAAATCTATGGATCCCACGGACTTTAAGGGTTTAAATATGTGAATCTCACGGACTTGAAAATTCTATCTCTTTATACGGAAATTGATCATGAACTTTGAAGTCCATCATTAAAGACCAACCTCCACCTCATATATTCATAGTTTCACAAAACCCAAATTTTATCTAAACCTAGCAAACGACCCGTTAGACACTAACTAAACCTCACCATGCCGATGGTCTTAGAAAAGAGCCTAGACATGATATAACAATGACAGAGAATATAAGTACCTGGAATGGTAGGGGGAGAACCCTGGTCACCATAGCCGAGCTTTGATGGAATTTTCAACTTCCTCTTCTCACCTACACACATTCCCAGTAGTCCTTGGTCCCATCCTGCAACAACAACAAAAAAAAAAAAAAAAACAATAGGCAACTCCAAGTGAGTGACGTTTATGGATAAATGGTAAAGAAACAAGCAACAAAGTAAAGCATGAAAAAGTTAGACCTTTGATAACTTGACCACTGCTAAGCTCAAATTCAATGGGATCGCCCCTTTCAAAGCTGGAGTCGAAGACAGTGCCATCGGTGAGCTTTCCCTGCAAATTTTTAATAATATATGATTCCGGAAACTTGATCCAAGTACGAGACTCCAGCAAGGAAGTCCAAGAAGAGAATCCTTGAAAACGAACACCTAATCTTAACTCAAAACTATGAATTAGATGAAAGATAAACTTGTCAGGGAACCATGATGCAAGGGTTTGATTCATCATTTGCACCCTGGTTATATTTTGGCATAATTGAATCGACATATGCAGGATGGCCAGTAGGGCATTTTAGATAAGCAGGGGTAAATAATAGGTGGAAGAGATCAACTCATTACCACCACATAAGCAGGATTCAAGAAAAAAGCTACGATTTCTCTAACATGTAATAACCAACAACTACAAATAAAAAGGACGTCTGAAAGCCCAAAACTTTTAAACAGGCAACGGAAATCCATCAGACTAAAAAGCAGCAAAGAATAACTATCTTGATTGATTAATTGAAGATGCATATTAAGGAAAAGTTGTAGAACAAAGACACCCATTGCATTGCTAAGCAGGAGACTGGAACGACTGAACAGACTTAACTCACCCGGTAGTGTACTTTGATCTTGTCCCCTTTATGAGCCTGAATCTCACAAGTCTCTGGTTTGTGCTGCAAGATGCACAGTAGCAGACATAAGGACAGCAGTAACAACCAATATTGTGCATTCTGATTTACGAGCAACCCTAAGTTGCTTCCTAACGAATACTCCCAACTATCATCAGCTCAAATCGAGCCTCATTATGAGCAAGGAAAAGCTGAAATCCTCATCCTTAATCCTACAGTTGCTGTATCCTTTGCAGCATATTTGCATTTAATCCGCCTTTTGTATGCAAAACACAGGAAACATAAATCGCAGAACATAGATGCAGAAAGGGAATTAGTAGTACCTTGACGCCAATCTGTAACTCTGTTACATCGCCAGACTTCTTCCCGGAAACTGAGGGATCAAGATGAGCAGAACGGAAGAAAAACATTCACAATCAGGAAACAACAAATGGGGAACCGAACTTCTTCCCGGAAACTGAGGGATCAAGATGAGCAGAACGGAAGAAAAACATTCACAATCAGGAAACAACAAATGGGGAACCGAACTTGGCGGATCAGAAAGCTGAATCAGCGAAATCGTTCACCGATACAAAAAAACAGATCTAAACAAAGCGGTATGAGATTACTGCCTAGTTACCATACGAAGACAGAGCCACGAAGAAGAAGAAGATTGCGGCAGTTTTCGATACAGAGATTGAGCTCATCTTCTTCGTAGTTGGTCAGCTCACTCCAACTCAAATGCTCGACGATAAGCTCTGGCGTTCTTCTGAGAAGTGAAGGAGCGACGGAACTTATGCTAATTGAACACCAGTTATTAATTATTAGCACAATCTTTGAACTTCCACAAATAATAAGTTTAATAATAATAACCTAACATTTTAAAATATAAAAATAATTAATTATTAACTCATATTAACCATGGTTGTCACGTGAGTGATATGCCGCCAAGTTGAACCAGTTAATAAACAAACATTTTGAAATATAAAAATTATTAATTATTAAGTCTCTATTAACGATGGTTATATGTCGGCCGGCTGAACCTAATTGAACTAGTTTTGATCATGAAACCAGTATGAACACCAGTGGTATGAACGAAATGATTGATTAACAACTTCTAAGCAAAATGACGTCATTTTAGCGAATTTAATTACCAAAAAATTATTTATTATTTAATTTATGTATTTCAAAGTTAATATTGATGTTATTTGTTGAATTTAAGTATAAACATTTAGGTGATAACGTTAAATGTTGTATTGAAATATGAGTATTTGTTATTTTATTTTGAATGTCGTATTTTATTTGAATATGAATTGTAAGTAAATTGTCTTCAAATGTGTTTTTACATATGATTAAATTTATTTATGTTAATGGGCTTCACATTTTTACATATGAACCGGCATGAACTGGCACAAATCGATTGTACCACCGGTCGAACCATTCCACTTGATAAGCTAGTTAACGATATAAACCAATTTGACAACCTTCATGTTAAAACTTCTGTTAGTTGAGAGGAGCTATAAATTTTGTGACGTACCGTCAAGAAGAAGGTGCCAGATAAGTTAACATTGATCATCTGACCACAACCCTTTGTTTTTAAGACGGGGTGTCGTAGAGAAAGTACAGCGTCCTTGGAAGTTCATAAATATTTGGTTGCTTGAAGAAGAGTTCTACTCGTGACTTGTGGGATGGTGGAACATACCTATTACTGGTTTCGGTCCTATTTTTTTGGTTTGGACAACGACTCAGGAACACGAAGCAGATGATTAAGGGATGGAATAGAGAACATTATGGCAGAATCGAGTTAAAAGTTGTTGATCTTCTAAGGAGGGTTAAAGAGATAGACAGTCTAGAGGAAAGAGAGAGTCTAACAGAAGCTAAACATCTAGAGAGAAGCCTTCTCAAATGTCTGCTGGAAAAGATACTCCTTAAGGAAGAAATTCTGTGGCGACAGAAATCGCGCGAGCTCTGGTTAAAAGCAGGAGACAAGAACACTCCATTTTTCCATACGGTGGCCAAGAACAATCGGCGAAGGAACAAAGTACAGAATATCAGAGTTAATGGAATCTTGGCAGATGGCAAGGTGGAACTACAAGCTGCTGTTGTTGGTTATTTTAAAGAAAGATTTGGACAAGAAAGGGATGAGAGACCCTTTCCATTTGGGTACAGAGCAGGAATAATTGCAATAGAGGATAACTATGAGTTGTGCAAGCCGTTCACAGAAGGAGAAATAAAAAGGCCATTGCAGACTATGATGGGGATAGGTCTCTAGGACCAGACGAGTTTACTCTGAGTTTTTATAAGAAGTGTTGGAATGTGATCGGGAGGGATTTGATTATGGCTTTGGATGAATTCTACTTGACAGGAATCCTCCCAAACTCCATTGCTCATTCTTTCTTGTGTTTAATCCCGAAAAAGGAAGTTGTCGAGGACGTGAAAGACTTCAAACCTATAAGCCTCATAGGGAGTCTTAACAAGATAATTTCCAAAGTCCAAGTAGCAAGATTGAGACCTTTTTATGGACAAAATTATTTCCCGGAATCAGTTCGCAGGGGTAGGGGAAGACAACCACATGAAGCAAGCCTAATAGCAAACGAACTAATTGACAGTAGAAGGAGAAGTGGAAAACTGGGGGTTGTATTAAAGCTAGATATCGAGAAGGCTTTCGACACAGTAAGTTGGGAGTGTCTCTTTCATATTGTAGCCTCTATAGGTTTCAATCCAAAAGTGCAAAGATGGGAGAAAGGGATAACCTCCTCGACTATGTTGTCAGTGTTAGTCAATGGAGAATCAGTTGGTTTCTTCAAAACAAGAAAAGGACTAAAGCAGGCCGATCCATTATCGCCTTTCCTATTTAATTTGATTATGGATGTGCTTTCACTTATGCTTCCAGAAGTCAATCCTGCAGGATACATCAAAGGTTTCTGTATGAACAAAGTGGAGGAAAGAGGGGAAGTTACACACTTGCTCTATGCGGATGATGCAATAGTTTTCTGTGATGCTACGGAGGATGAGGTAAGGAGCGTGCTGGCTAACCTTGTGTGCTTTCAAAGTGTTATAGGTCTGAAGGTTAATGTGGAGAAAAGCAAATTATTTCCGGTTGGCGAAGTGAGGAACCTGCTGAGTTTGGCTGAAATCTTTGGTTGTGAATGGGAATATCTCCCCACGACTTACCTCAGACTCCCACTCGGTGCCTCGCCAATGGCCGCTGGTGTTTGGAATCCAATTTTCACAAGATTACAATCTAAATGGAAGGCTAGAAAAGAAGGCTGTTATCGCTTGGGGGAAGGATCATGCTAAGTAACGCATGTCTTGCTAGTCAGCCAATGTTTAGGTGTTCTTTGTTTGCTGCACCAAAGAATGTGATTCATAAAATAGAAGGTATCCAGAGGTCTTTCATTTGGGAAGGATACAAAGAACAACGCATGATGCATCTAGTGGCCTGGGAAAAATGTAAGCTGCCAAAAAAATGGGGTGGTCTCGGAATGCAGGATCTGGAATTACATAATAAAGCCTTACTATGCAAATGGCTTTGGAGATTTGCTCAAGAAGAGGGTGGGTGGTGGAATGATCTTTTATAGATTAAGTTCCCAAACGTAACAACAAAATGGTACAGTTCTGATATTGAAGTACGGGTTGCAGCCCTTTGCGACATATCATCAAGTTGCAAAATGTGTTTTGGAAATTCGCAAGTTTGAAACCTGGAACGGAAGGTGATGTGTCTCTTTGGCATGATCATTGGAGAAGTGACAAGACGCTTACACAAACATTTCCAAGAGTTGGTGCCGCTGCTAGCTACTCACTTGCAAAGATCGCAGAATGTGTTCATTTTTCTGATGAGAGCTTATCCTGGGATATACCATTAAGGTTTGAGTTAAGAGGTGGGGCAGAGAGGGAAGGGAGAGTATGTTTAACTTTCTTAATACTATCACCCCTTCTTTATTTGCTGCAGGAAATGACTCTTTGATGTCGCCACACAGGTAGCCAGCTAACCCGAGCGAATGGTGTGAAACCTTTGTACTTCATGGCCTGTGCTGGTGTGTTTGGAAAGAGAGGAATAGCAGAATATTTGATGATCGTTCTACAACAGAGGAGGTGGTTATGTACAAGATTAGCAGCCAAATCGCAAAGTGGTTGATAGCCGCGAACAAGGTGGAGAGACAAGTAGCGGAAGAATGGTTAACAAAAGTAAGAAGACGTTTGAGTGGCAGCAATGAAGCGTCATCCGGATGATCTGCCCTCTTGACGATGAACCTTGTTGGTTTCTAGTCTCTCCGTTGTCTGTGTATTGGAGCTGTAAGAACGAAGAGACAATCAAATGGGTAGCGGGGGGATAAAGGGATGGGCTGGCGTAGCCATTTTGTTTACCTTTGTCTGCGCGCATCTTCCTCTGTTTCTTTTTTTACCAAGTACAGGGGAGTGGTGCTGAAACTTATCCCACTATTTGTTTTCCCCTGTTTCTGCTTTTTGTTTTCTTTTGTTTGTTTCCTTCTTTTCTACAATTTATTAGGCAAACCTATCAACTTCAAGAAATATTAGCAACAATTTTGAAAATTCAAAATAATAGCCAACTATCAAATTCTCATTGACACGTCTGTTAGACGATATTTAGCTAGCGAATATGGTGTTGAAATTGAAAAAGTTTTCACGACGTTGTGGTCAACAAGAAAATGCCATGTTAGTCAACCCCTTCTCCTCTTCTTATTAATTAAGTTTTTTGTTTCCGTTGAATCAATTACCCTTTTGTTAGTCAACCATTTTGGCTACCCTGCAGAAACGTACAGCAGAAACAGAAGCTATAAACTCCCACTACACTCGACTATACTACCATTTACAGCACTACATAATTCGCAACATTCTCAGATCACGCCTCATTAATTCTTGTAGAGTTTGAGTATCACGTTCCGGCTCATTATGGTAGCGCCTGAACCTTTCCTACCAAACATAAGAAGTTAACATGCACCACTTAACAACAATTGAATTCCCCTGCACATTGCTGGAAACTCGACAAATAGAGGCAAGTGATTCCTCCCAGGAAGATCTACACACCATCTCGACTCTTAGGACTCCAGTTACTACTTGTTTGACAAACCCATAACTTAAAAATAAGTGTTCTCGCGTTTCACTATCACTATGACAGAGAACACAACAATCATCAGTAATCTTTCCCCATATCAATAACTTACTCTTAATAGTAATGGCATTTAGGATGACAAGCCAAGCAATTAAACTAAACTTAGGGACACTATTTTGTGTTACACCCCGACCTTTGGGTTCAGGTTCGACCATAATACGTGAGCGGTTGGATTAACGGTTACGTACTAAGGGTTGCAACCGCGGATTAGGAATAATAATAATAATAACTATTATTAATATTAAAAAAAGAAAGCTGGTCGAAAGGGCGCTCGGCCCTCAATTATTTCCAAAAACCCTCGCCCATCCCTTTCCTCTCCCCGTCACAAACCACCGCCCAAACCCTCTCACTTGCGCATGTCTCACCGCCGCCAAAATAAGCTTCTGCAGCAGCTCTCGGCCATGTGGAAAATGGGGTGCACTTTGATTTATTGGACCAGGAGAGAAACGCCAGCAGTAATGTCCTTGTGCCCAGCATCGCCATCATTGGGATCAGACAGGAGAAAGCTGAGTTTGATCATCCTCATGCTCACGGCTACAGGTTAAATCAAAGGCTTCCCCCTTACAATTCAATCACTACACGTGCATGGGTTATTGCATGGGATGGAAGTCCATTAACATTTGTGGGAATGGTATACATGGATGGATGGATTAGGTGATGTGGGGTATGACAAAAGAAGATGGAAAACGAGAAGTGATGGAGGAGGAAGTAAAATCGGATCAGTCAATTTGAACAACCAATTAGGTGAGTGTAAAGGGGGTAAATTCTATGCCTTACGTGTTCTTTTAAGTATTATGATTTTAAGTATTTTAGCGAATTGGTTACCGTTGCTTGGTTATATTTATGATTGAGTATTTGTACTTTGCTTGAGCTATGATTTGAGGTGATTATGTGCTATTTGAGGTGATATGAGGCGATTTTGTGCTATTTACCTTAAAGAATTATGTTTGAGTTATTGTTAAAGTTTAAGAAACAAGTTCTTTTTAAGAAGTAACTCACCTTCAAGAAGGTGAAGTCGTTTTAAGTGTTTTTAGACACTAGTGCCAGTCCGTTGCCATTTGAGATTTTCAGATAGAGCAGCAGTTATGCTCTTGAGATCTTTGAGACAGAGCATCCGTTATGCTCTCGAGACTTTTAAGATGAGCAGCAGTTATGCTCTTGAGAATCGTGGTGAAGAGCCACCACGATAATTTTAAGATGTTAGGGGGATGAATCGTTACGACTTCCCTAACTAAGTTTAAGTTTAAGGAAAGCCTGGATGGCTTCTCATACGTATGAGTTGGCAACCAGACTAGCTAGTGAGGGATCCCCGTGTCAGTCAAGTATTTAAGTCAAGATTTGAGTTTTAAGAGAGGAGAGTAACTTCAACTCCCATACAGTTTAAGAGTTAATATTTTAAGATTGGAAGTACAAACAACTTCCACTAGTCAAAGTTAAGTGTTTAAGTAAAGTACTCAAGTATTAGAAGTATTAAAACGTAAGGGCGTAGACTAACCCCATCTCAGTCACCAGTTTGAGGAGCTAGAGGAGCAGTTAATGAGCAGCGAGTTTGAGGGCAACCAGCTAGAGGAGAGCAGTATAAGCGTCATGAAGGATGCTTGGTCAAGGATTTCAGTAGCAACAACTTCAGAGATTATTAGTTATTTACATTTATGATTTGAGTATAGACTGGAGATTATTTTGAGATTAGATTGAGATTTTAAAGTTTGATCTTAATTTGCCCAAGTGTTAGGGCTTTGCTCTGAGCTACGAGTGTGTGTTTTCAGTATTTTATTTATGAAAATTTTTCCTACTGCAATTTAAGATTATAGTATTTTATTTATCAAGGGATTTTTAGTAAAAGTAGTACCCGACCGGGTTAGGGTGTGTCATTTTGCCTCCAAACCAACCTGTAAATTAATCTAAATGTGAAAATGATCAACAAAAAAATAAAAGTAAAAACAATTTTCACAATAAGGAACACACACGAATTAACCTAATCGTCTCTTTCAAAATCTTCTTCTCCAACCCCTTCAAAGTTCCTCCAGCCGGGGAACCGACCCTAATCAAAGCTTTATGGGTCGGCTTTTTGGATGTTTTCCTCCATTAGAGTATCGGAGAAACTATAGCGGCGAAACGAGCACCATAAGTAATTCGTGTTCAACCGAATTCCCCGTGAAAGAGCTTGTTTTGCAATGATGTGGAGCATCGTTAATTGTAACATATCAACATCTAAAAATTTATATTGTTATGAAATTTAAAAGGTTTGAATTATAAATTTTATTCACTCTCGAAAAAGTCAAATGCTTTTGTGGAATATGATGTGGAGTTGACGTGAAGCACCATTGACGGTACTTTTAACGATAACAGATCAATGACTAACGTTTTGAAATGTTTTGAAAGGTTTGTCAATTATTTTGTATTTTCAAAAGTTTAGTTAATATTTTTTCAGTTTGACTAATAAATTGTATTTACTTTTATTATTATGAAGAACTGATACTACTTTTTTTTGCATTAATTCACTTTTGGAGAGGAAAAGTGAACCTGATACAATGTAGCATTTACATATTTGCTCGCAACCAAGCAGTAAAGTCGAAACTCGACAACACCAGGGTGAAAAAAAAACATAGTGAGCAACCAAATGTGGTTAATAGCATTTTGTACCCTTATATTATCGCAATTTAAAAAATATATCCTTCTACTAAATTTTCGCACATAGTCTGTTAATATTAAAAAGTAAAGAGTATACCCTTCTGCCAATTTTTCTGTTAATTAACCATTTAATGTGCTGATAAATTATCCAAATACCCTAATTTAATCCTAATTTCAATTTAATTATTTTATATGTCCCAAACCAAAATAATTAAAAGTGAAAATCTACAAACTCCCAATTTTTCTCTTCGACAGCAGAGTTTCCGTCTTCCGCGCCCATCTTCGACTCTAAATGGAACTCTGGTTTCGACATTGATGGACCCCGAAGTGAATAGGATGATGGGTCAGACAGGGAGGGACGAAGCGGGCCTCATCGATCAGCAAGGACTCGTTGGCCCAGTACGCGTTTCGACAACGAGTAGAAGCAGGAGCGGATCCGCAGTAGCTTGCCATGTAGTCTAGGAACTTTACTTGTTTCATATTTGAATCATGGGTTAGTTATTGAATGAGTCAGAGGTTAGGTTGTTTGCTGAATAATCTCCTCCACCTTAAGTGGGGTTGAGTAGTTGGGGTGTTAGCTACCTTTCAGCTTATTGTTATTCTCGATTCTATTTATGTTGGGAAGAAATGGAATAAGGCAAGCAAGTATTATTCTGCAAAAGCATCCCTGGTCCTTCTCACCAAGAAAAGAGAACACTGGCTAAATCCCGCCAATAAAGTGGATCCATCCAATCTTTCAATTTCGATCCGTATCATTTGGTATCAGAGCCCGGCATGGGCACTCACGCAACCGTATCGAAGCACTGGAAGCAGCTGGCCAAGAGAATCAACTTACGTTGAAGGCGATCCTTGATCAATTGGTTGCCGTGCAACTTACCATGTCCCAGATAGCGCAATAACGAACTAAGTCGGAGGAGGGCGAGAAATCAGTCACCGACAATGGTCGGCGACCGCCGCCTGACGACTTTGACGATCAGGATGGCCGACCGTTCTTTGGAGCAAAGCTGGCCCGACTGGAATTCCCTACCTTCTCGGGGGACAATATGACCGTATGGTTCTCAAGGGTGGAGCAGTTTTTCTCGTTCCAGCGGATCCCCGAAGATCAGAAGGTCAACCTTGCGTCCTACCATCTCGAGGGCGACGCGAATCAATGGTGGCAATGGCTCCGGCAAACCTACCAAACCGAGGGTCTCCATATCATGTTGGACACCTTCTCCTCGGAGTTATGGACTCGATTCGGAACAAGAGCTGGCACCGGATTCGACGAAGCCTTATCTCCCATCCGTCAGACGGGGACGTTGAAAGACTACTTGACGGAGTTCGAACGGCTAGGCAAGACTCTCCCTATTTTCCACACCCTCGACCCCCTGCTTCCATCGAAGGCGAGCACAAGTCGCTGCCAGCTAACGTCAATCATCGACCGCGGCCTCCGGGATCCAAGCGTCTCAGTTACGAAGAGATGCACCGCCGACGCCAATTGGGGCTATGCTTCAATCGCGATGAGCCCTATTCCGCTACTCACCGCTGTCAGGGCAGAAAACTTTGGTTGATGTGGGACGATGACGGCGATGATGATATGGAAGAAGCAGAGGTTTCGTTCCACGCCATCACGGGCTGGGCCAAGGGACGAACACTCCGGGTTTGGGCCGAGATCAATGGAACTCGACTGATGGCCCTCATCGATAGTGAGTTGACCCACAATTTCATCAGTTCCCGGGCCGCCGAGCAGCTTAAACTCGCCGTCTCCTAGATACCAGTGCTACAAGTTAAGATCGCCGACATGAGGCCCCTGGAATGCCTCGGAAAAATTGCCAGAGCCCCAATCTCCATACAAGGGTCGCTCTTCCACGTTAACCTCCACACCATACCGCTGTCGGGCTTTGATATTGTTTTAGGATTTCAATGGTTAGCATCGTTGGGGACTGTTCAGAGTAATTGGAAGACCCTCGAAATGGAATTTTACTGGGACGGAGTCCTTCGGAGGATCCATGGCATCCAACGAGGACCGCCCATTCCAGCGAGCCTCAATGGCATCATCAAATGAGAGCACAAACTGATGGCTCTCTGCGTTGCTCCTTCAATCCAAGACCCTCTTCACCAAGTTCCTCCGGAGCTGCACTCCCTCATTAGAGAGTTTGGCGACTTGTTCGAAGATCCTACCCAGCTACCACCACCACCGCGAGCGATCAAGCACCTGATTCAACTCAAGCCGGGCACAGAGGCTGTCAACGTACGACCATACTGCTATGCCCATTTTCAGAAGGCTGAAATCGAGTCCCAAATCAATCAAATGCTTGCATCGGGTCTCATCCAACCAAGCACTAGCCCTTTCTCTTCACCAGTACTCCTCGTGAAGAAGAAGGACGGGACATGGCGCTTCTGTACCGACTGCCGCGCCTTGAATCTGGTCACCATTAAGGACCGATTCCCTATACCAACGGTCGATGCGATGCTGGACTAACTTCACAGAGCTACCATTTTCACAAAACTCGATCTGCGAGCGGGTTACCATCAAGTCCAGATATATGCTGCTGATGTTTCGAAGATGGTTTTCCGTACTCACAACGACCATTATGAATATTTGGTCATGCAGTTCGGATTGTGTAATGCCCCTTCTACGTTCCAGGCCATCATGAATGACAGCTTCAGGCCACTACTTCGAAAATCGGTGCTGGTCTTCTTCGACGACATCCTCATCTACTGTCCGGATCGGGCCACACACGTAAAACAGGTTCGACAAGTATTCCACATCCTACGGCAGCACAAGTTTTTCATTAAATTTAGTAAGTGTGGCTTTGGCTTGGCAGAGTTCGCGTACCTGGGGCACTTCATCTCATCCACAGGGGTCAAGGCCGATCCTAAGAAGATAGCGGCCATGATTGATTGGCCGACACCGGCTAACTTGACTGAACTACGTGGGTTTCTCGGCCTCACCGGCTACTACCGCAAGTTCGTCCAGGATTACGGGGTGATTGCTTGACCACTTACCAATCTCCTTAAAAAAGGGCAGTTCATCTGGTCCGAAGAAGCTGACTCGGCGTTCCAGACCCTCAAAAAGGTAATGACGTCGACACCCAATTTGGCTGGAAATTTTCTCTAATGCGTTCACCGTCGAAACCGACGCATCCAACTATGGCATCGGGGCAGTCTTGATGCAAAACGAGCGGGCCATTGCTTTCTTGAGTCGGGCTTTGGGCAAGACAAACGCTGCTCTCTCAACATACGCTAAAGAAATGCTGGCGATCGTTACTGCAATCCAAGCTTGGCGACCCTATCTCCTGGGCCGACAGTTTATCATTCCTACGGACCAGAAAAGTTTGAAGCATTAATGGGCCAACGAATCACGACTCCTGAACAGCAGAAATGGATCTCGAAATTATTGGGCTACGACTACGAGATCGTGTACAAGCCCGGGCCCGAGAACCACGCGGCAGACGCCCATAGCCGTCGCCCGCACGAGACCCACGTGCATGCTATCTCCTTACCCTATTCGTATCTTTGGGATTCCATCCAAGAGAGGGCCGCCAGTCACCCTTATATGCAGCAGGGCTGCCGCCGAGCCCTTTCTTCCACCCCTGGCCATTATTCTCTTCGAGATAACATGCTCTACCATCCGGGAAAGATTGTTGTTCCTCCAAAGACCTCTCATGTCGCCCAGCTACTGTATGAGTCCCACTCGACAACAATGAGTGGCCACTCCGGCATCGAGCGAACCTACAAGCGATTGGCGGCGCAGTTCTTTTGGCCAAATATGTTGGAAGACATCAAGAGGTTTTCCTGTGCTTTCGATATCTTTCAAAGAGCCAAATCTCAATCATTATCCCCTGCCTGTCTTCTCCAACCTCTCCCGATTCCGACTTAGGTATGGCAAGACATCACCATGGATTTTATTGACGGACTCCCTTCCTCAGGCGGTAAGACGGTGATCCTCGTCGTCTTGGATCGGCTTACAAAATCTGCTCACTTCATGCCATTATCCCATCCATATACAGCTCGATCGGTGGCGGACGCATTCCTCGCCGGCATTCTCAAACTCCATTGACCCCCATGATCCATCATCTCCGATCGTGACTCCACCTTCACAAGCCATTTTTGGCGCGAGCTGTTCCGCCTCTCCGACACGCAATGGTCGATGTCATCCTCGTATCACCCCCAGAACGACGGCCAGACTGAAGTCGTCAACCGCTGCCTCGAACAATACCTCCGTTGTTTCACCAATCAGAACCCGCTTCGGTGGCTCATCTACCTTCCCTGGGCTGAATATTGGTACAACACGACGTACCATAGTTTGGCTGGGATGACTCTATACCAAGCTCTCTATGGACGGTTGCCTCCCGCTGTCCCTTATTATCGCCCGGGTTCCACGTCTGTTCATGAGTTTGAACGGACCCTTCTTGACAGGAATGAGGTCTTGGAGGCACTACACTCTAACCTTGCTACCGCTCAGAATCGGATGAAGCAACAAGCCGATGCGGGCGGTCGCGACATCGAGTTTCAAGTCGGTGATGCGGTATATCTCAAACTTCATCCCTATCGTCTGCACACTGTTTTTCTGCGCTCGTCCCAGAAGTTGGCTTGCCGCTATTACGGGCCGTATCTGATCACGGATAGGGTGGGCGTTGTGGCCTATCGGCTGGCCTTACCACCCGACAGTCGCATCCACCCCGTGTTCCACGTCTCACTCCTACGCCCTTGCAATTCTCCGACCACTCCTCCAAGTCCAGTCGCTCCTCCCATTGGTGATGACGGAGTCCTCCTACTCCAACCACATACCATCCTTGATGTTCGTTGGACCCGCTGCGGGGGTAGCATGGTCAAAGAACTTCCTGTCATGTGGGAACAGCTGTCGGACGATGAATCAACATGGGACCTTGCTTCGGTGTCAACGACCGTTTCCTCCATCTTGGCCTCGAGCACGAGTCCAATGCTCCACGGGGAGGTAATGATGGGCCCCGAAGTGAGTATGATGATGGGCTGGAGAGGGAGGGACGAAGCGGGCCTCGTCGATCAGCAAGGACTCGTCATCCCAGTACGCGTTTCGACAATGAGTAGAAGCAGGAGCGGATCCGCAACAGCTTGCCATGTAGTCTAGGAACTTTACTTGTTTCGTATTTGAATCATGGGTTAGTTATTGAATGAGTCAGAAGTTAGGTTGTTAGCTGAATAATCTCCTCCACCTTAAGTGGGGTAGATTAGTTGGGGTGTTAGCTATATTTCAGCTTATTGTTATTCTCGGTTCTATTTATGTTGGGAAGAAATGGAATAAGGCAAGCAAGTATTATTCTGCAAAAGCATACCTGGTCCTTCTCACCAAGAAAAGAGAACACTGGCTAAATCCCGCCAAGATAGTGGATCCATCCAATCTTTCACCACCATTTGCATGCTCGCTACCGCCAACCCATCTCCCACCGCCGCCATGGAAATGGGTTCAACTTATGGCAACACCAACAGCGCTACACCCCCGCTTTCCGACACAGCTCCGGCCAATCCATCAATCTCCCCGCCGAGAGGTAATGAACAGATTTTCTTTTAACCATTGAAAATGAATTTCCATAAAATTCTTAGATGGGTTGATCGAGATGATTTTGGGAGGATATTTAATTGAATTTTCATCAGGTGCCCTAAGCCTCAAGACATCAGCTATTGCACGAGAGAATTTCTAATTAGTTTGATTCTTCCCAGCACCAAAGGAGTGAGCCAAACTTGTACGCCCTCGCTTGCCCTCTGAGAGTGAATTTTGAGGCAGCAGGTCGAGTTGATTCTTTGTTGGAGGCTTCGGGTCAAATACCCTGATCTGGATCGCGATTCTTTTTCCTGTACTTCTTCCCCTGCTTCTCATGTATCACCCATGAGTTCAAGACCTTGTAATTTTTAGATACGAAAAATAAATAAACCAATTAGGAGTAGATAAGGGCTATTTGGGTGGTTTTCCAACCCATGAAATGGTCAATTAACAGAAATATAAACAGAAGAGGAATACTATACTGTTACGTTTTAATATTATAAGGATATGTTTGTGAAAAAATTGGTAGAAGATTATATTTGTTAATTTGCAATAGTAGAAGCGTACAAAATACTATTAACCCCAACCAAATGTACTCCCTTGTGAATATTACAGGCAAGAAAAGGAATATCAATGATTTCCTGGAGAACGACTCCAAGTTTAGCATCCACAAGCATCCCTAGAATTGCATTTGTCAATAATGCCTTTAGCATAAATCTATCTATCTATCTATCTATATCTATCTATATCTATCTATCTATCTATCTATCTATCTATCTATATCTATCTATACTATATATTATGGCAATTCAAAAGTAACTTCTTGCCACATAAACACTTGGAGAATTCACAAGTTGCCAAGGTGGACAACTTTTTTGCAAACACAAATTCATTATTGATCTATTTATGGAGCTATCTCTCTCTTCTTTGAATATTTCTACTCATTTTTACTAAAAATTGTTAATAAATTAATTTTTTATGAAAATGTAAACAAACACACAAAAGTATAATATTTTTGTCAATTAAAAAATATAAAGATGGAAATAGAGAATGACTATATCGAATTTGTTTAACTAAAAAGTATATGATTAAATCTTATCAAGTAAATTTTCTACTTATTTTCACCAAAACTTAATAATAAGTTACATTTTGACAAAAATTTAAAAAAGTGCACATATATAATAATATTTTTATCAATTAAACAAATTATTACAATAGAAACATTGAAAACAAATGATTAAAAAGTACACATATATAATAATATTTGTATCAATTAAACAAAATATTACAATAGAAACATTGAAAACAAATGATTAAAAAAGTACACACATATATAGTAATATTTTTTATCAATCGACTTTGAAAACAAAATATATGAATTTAGATTTTTTGTATTAACAAATCTCTTATTTCTAATGTATTTTTTTCGTCGAATTATTTCTAATATATATTTCTATCAAATAAAACAAGTTTTATATAGCAAAAGGTCTGAATATAAACTTGACTAAGCAATAATAGTTCTTTCATTAAAAAACTTCTTATTCATCATGATTAAGTGAAATCATATATTCATGTTCTACCTTCATTTTCTCAAATTAAGAGGAATCAGGTGTGCAATACTTTATAATTTGTCCTAGGCTCATATTAAAATATTAACTCTAGATCATATTAATTGAACAATCTCTATTGAGGTCATAAGTCGAATGCTAAGTAATTTCTTTTCAGATTTGGAGTTATTGTCGAACATTATTACATCAAAGTTTTCAAAATGACTTAAGTATGATTTTTGACTTCATACCTCGGATGAGACACAACATCACTTAAATAAAACACGTGTAAAGGTTAAGAAAATCTTCGTTGAGGGTATACAATAAACATCACGTTGCATCAATCACTAACCTTAGGATTGATCAAATAAGGGTTGAAAAAATTTATTTAATAGTTGATGTCTTGGTAGACAAATCTAAATTCGAGGATTGAGGCAATAAATAAACATAAGTGTGTTAGTTGAGATATCTAAACAAAAAACTTTTGTAGCTACAAGAACTAAATCGAGGTATTGTGTTAAAATAAAGAATCTTTAATAATGATGAGTTTAGTAAGGCAATTGTAAGAAAACATTGGGGTCGTTTGCTTCGTGGATTTGAAAACTGAAGGTTTTAATAAAACTTGGATTTTGTAAAAGCATGGATATATGAGGGTTTTTTTTGTTCATTATGGATTTGAAAATACCATATTTCGTTTCATAGATTTCATGATGCATTTGGTTAATTGAATTTGTATGTTGGAAGTGAAAATGACATATATTACCCTCATTGGTATGAGAAGGGAAATGAAATATGAGGGGTAGGTTGGTCATAAATAATAGACTTCAAAGTCCATGATCAATTTCCATCTAAAGAGGTGAAATTTTCAAGTCCGTGGGACCCACGAATTTGGAACCTTAAAATACATGAGACCCACATATTTGTTGCCTCTAAAGTCTAAATACATGAAGCAAGCAATGGTTGGACAAAGTTCACGATAGCTCCAAATTCATCAAGCAAACAACCCCAGCTATATGGTTGTGAGTCTGTGACTCCATACCAAATTTTGGCAATAACAAAAAAAAAAATAATATCGAAGTCTCAAAATGGAAATCTTTTGGTTTGTAACAGTAAGCAATTTGTATTTAGATCGAGTTATCCTAGCTAGGGGTGGTAAACGGTTTTGCGGCTAACGGTTTAACCGGTAACCGTACCGATAACTGCGGTTATCGATAAAACCGTTAACCGTAAGCTACGGTATTCGGATGCGGCTTGCTTGGCTTCGGTATACCGACAAGGACTCGGTAAAATACCGACGGTATTTTGGTATCCCGATACCGGAATTGAAAGGGCAAACGGCAAAGGCGCTGCGCAACCCGCCGTCCTCTCTCAGACTCCAACCTTACCTGATTAACTAGAATTTAGATACTAGTTAATACCAATACCAATTTTCATCGCTCTCTCCCATCTGCCGTACGAGTACGACGAGGCACGCCGCACAATCGATTCTCGACAACAAACGCTGGCTGCCGCCCGATAGCTACCTGCAGAAACAGAATTTTCATCCTTTCCGTCGCCGGCGAAAGCTCGACCCCCGTCCCACGAGCCCAGGACCCAGCAACCCAGTCTCTGTTAGGACCTTTTCCGTCGATCCCGTCGCAGTCGGGCCAGTTTCCGTTACCTTGCCGCCGTCGGACCTTTCCCGCTCGACCTAGCAGCCCCATAGTTCGTTCTACTCTCCGTCGATTTCATTTTTTTCAGGTCATAATATTTCGTTGACTTTGTTTATTGACTTGTTGTGCCAGAGGAGAGCAGCAGCCAAGTTCCATTGTTTGTTGCTTTTGTCATCTCAAACTTTTTAATTTTTATGATAATTGTCAATTGATGCACATGAAAAACCCCAACCCATATGCAATCACCATTCGTCCTCTCCCCACCATTCCTGTACAGTGTACACCGGTCACAGCTCCTTTGTCGTGGAATGAAAGGGTAGACAAATGAAGCACGTAAGCAGAATGGGCCAGCGGCAACACGGGTATCCGGCCATTGTCAAAAAAAAAAAAAAAAAAAAAACACGGGTATCCGGCTAATAACAGATACCGTATGAATTCGGGATTCGGTATACCGAGTTAAGTTCGGTATCGGCAAACGGTGCCATTGTGATGATGTCCGGTATACCGGTAACCGGTCAAACGGTAACCGATTTAACCGGTTACCGACCCTTTATCAGCCCTAATCCTAGCCACAAAATTACGTTTTCATATTTCAGTCGATGAGCCGAGTTCAAAGGTACTAATTAGGGTTAAAAATTAAAATAAAATAGTTATACATATTCTTTGATATTGATAGATATGTCTACAATACATTCAAGAATTCCAGTATATGTAAAATGTCACAATATTTCTACGAGTTATTACATTTTATAAAAAATTTCCAAGAAATCATAAATAATCATTACTTAATATTGTAGGAATCTAAAACTAATTTAATGCCACATCAGTACATGGCTAGCTCTCACCCTTTCACGCTGGACAATGTCTAATTGGTGTGCTTTTTTGCTTACTTTTTAAATTGTCATCATTATCAATAAAAAGTAAATTAAGTTAATAAAAATGAATGCAACATTTTGGTGTGTTCCTATTCCTTTTCCCATACAATATTGAAAATAAACCACAACATTGATAATGAAGAAACTAGATCAAGCCCCACAAAAACAAATAAAGCTCTCTTCTTATTTGTTTAAATTTTGAGTTTCTAGAATTTGTCTTCTCTACTTTTTTGTATATAGATAAAGGAAATGGTAAAGCATATTGAGTTTTTTGGGATTTTTCCAGAAATAGCACCTTTAAAAAAAATTACAAAAATAGCACCCATGTAAAAAAAATTCCACTAATAGCACCCTTTTTAATAGAGCGCACCTTGTAGATGCGTTTTACATATAAATCGCACCCTACAAGTGCGTTCCAAAAATAGATCGCACCCTAAAAGTGCGTTCCAAAAATCTGGAATCAAATCGCACTTTAGCCAAGCGATTTTTGGTCTGACCTAGTAAAATCGCATGGCCGAAATGCGATTTAGGTCTGACCTACTAAAATCGCATGGCCGAGGTGCGATTTAAAGCCAGACCTAGTAAAATCGCATGCCTGGGATGCGATTTGTTTCTGCCAGACAAAATCGCACTATGAGGATGCGATTTTAACATGCAAACCGCACCTTAAAGGTGCGGTTTTGGTCAATCAATTTCCGACATGCATGCAGACGTTACAGACGTGGGTCTGTATGGGTCTGCATGGCAGACGAAAATCGCATCTCTAAGGTGCGGTTTTCATCAAGATTTTGCCTATAAAAGGCCTACCGGACAACCATTTCTCTTCACACCTCTCCTTCTCACTTCCCTTTTCAATTTTCTTTTGTAGCTCTATATTTCTTTAGTAGTTTTGCGGTTAACGTTAACTCGTAAGTTGATTTAGTATTACATATTTCTTTAGTAGTTTTGCGATTAACGTTAACTCGTAAGTTGATGTTGCTCTATATTTCTTTAGTAGTTTTGCGATTAACGTTAACTCGTAAGTTGATGTTGCTCTATATTTCTTTAGTAGTTTTGTGATTAACGTTAACTCGTAAGTTGATTTAGTATTACATATTTCTTTAGTAGTATTGTGATTAACGTTAACTCGTAAGTTGATTTAGTATTACTTTGTATTGTTAATTTTTATTTTTGATTTTTATGATATTAACTTAACTACGGTTTTATCGCAGATGGCATTCCAAAAGTTCACGCTTGGCTTACGGTGGAATGGTTACACGGAAGAGACCGGAAAGGGTGCCACCTACGTAGGTGGCAATTTTCAGAAGATAAAGGTCGCTACCAGACCGCTGCTTGAAGACCTCCATCAAATGTGCACTAACGTTACTTGCATGGATGGCACGAGAAAAGTTGATCGTATGGTGTACCGATATCCAAACAGAGAAAGTGGGTCATTGTGGCATGAAGAATATCTCATAACCACTCAGGATGAGGTAGACGCCATGCTCGAATTCATGAGGTCCAACAATCTTTCCAAAGCCGAGATGTTCGTTTACACCGAGCCGGTCGTAGGCGTTGGAGGTCATTCTGGACACGGTCAAACATATGGTACCCATGGTGGAGGTGAATTATATGGCGATCATCCCTACCAAAGTTACCATGATCCTCATTCATATTTTCAGTACCAAGAGCAAGGTGAAGGTCATCATCAATCATATGAAGAAGAAGTTCAACCGGACCGGCCCAACCAACCTCAGTACAACTTCCTCTCAGGCAGCGGTAGTTTTCACAACTACCATTATGGAGCTGATGAAGGTGCCTTTCATGAGCTGGATCAGATGGAGGATGTCATGCCAGCACCAGTCAGTGACCCCTCCGACGAAGAAGGAGAGAACAACGTTAGTGCAGACAGCTCCGGCCCTCTTGAAGGTGCCGATGATTCCGGACCAGAGTCAGACTCAGCTAATGATGATGAGGGGGCTGTGACCGTGTACCAGTCCCCTACTACAATCACATTCCAGACGACAATTGGATGGTCGACAGCGACATGGAGCCGCCAGAGGTCCCAATATGGGGTCCACTCACTGGGTTTATGAAGGGCCCAACAAGGTTCAAAATGCGACCCTAACCTTGCATTTCCAGTGAAGGGTTTTGAGAGATACGGCCTTCCAAAGTACCCTTCCCAAAACTGTCTCAACACTTAGGAAAAAATCCAGCCTTGTTCGTATTAACTTGAAGTTGGGTTAGAAGCCATAATTTTCAATCAAATTACTTATCTCCACTGTATTGTTGATTGAACTAATTGGGATTACATAAAGATAAAAGGCATAGTTCTAATGGGATAAAATAAGACCAAATTGAAACAACAATCAATTCGAATAAACTAAGATAATAGGAATAGTTCAAATTACATATAAATTAAATTCAACTCTCATCAATCCGCTCAAGGAAGTCCACGAGCTTCGGTCGATCCCACGGTCTTCTTGCTCCTTGTACGACGACCGACGGGAGTAACAATCGGTGGCGGCGGTGGCAAGTTTCGAACTTGGGCGGAGGTAGTTTGGCGGTCGTCAGTGCTATGTCGGCAGGGAATCGGCACTTCCGGGGTTGAGCGGGGGACATTCACGGAAGCTCGGTGAGTAGTCGGAGGGCGACCCCATGGCGTAAAATCGTGGTGTGCCGTTGCGGAGGAACCATCATGCCAAGTACCGGATGATGTATGGCGGGGAGATGGTGGGTAGACCGGGCGGTAGTCGTGGTAACCTCCTTGGCGGGGAGATGGTGGGTACCCCGGGCGGTAATCGTGGTAACCTCCTTGGCGGGGAGATGGGGGGTAGATCGGGCGATACTCGTAGTACGATCCTTGACGGGGATCGTTGTATGAGATCGGGGTGGGACTCGGAGCACCTTGATGGTATGTCGCCCGAGGATCGTAGTACGAGCCTTGGTGGCCAGTTTGGCTGGAACTCTGGCCGGCGCCTTGGGGTGAACTCGGGCCGCCAACTTGGGGAGAACTCGGGCCGCCGACTTGGGGGGATCTCGGGCTGACACCTTGGGGAACAACCAATGGAGGCGGTACTTTCCACCCGGGATATGGCGTGACTTCGGGCTCGATGGGCCTTTCCCAGACCCTCTTGCTTGGCTTCCTCTCGTATGGTGGTGGGGGATCGGAGACATCCACTTGTACCGGAGGTGGCGGCGGTGCGGGCATGGGCGGATATCTACGATGATCCCTCCTTTGAGCTCTGATACATCCGAGAAGACTGTTTGCCATCCTTCTGATGAAGCTCACATCTTCATTTCCCAGCTCCGACCTCCCGGTGGTAATGTCTTTAATCCGCTCAATCCCGTCAGTCTAAATCACAAAACAATAAGTTAGGAAACAATTTAGGAACAAAAACAATACATTTAATTATGTAGAGTCGAATATACTTACTAATGCACCATCGGCAGCACCCTCCGGAGTCATGTAATGGACCGATGTTTGCCGATAGCGATCCAAGTACGGGTCATGATACCCCATTCGTCCCACTGCTGATGGAGTGACAATATCTTGCGATTGTCGTTCTTGCCACATGGCGATGAATGTCCTCAGCTTAAAGGGCCAATCTCGAGTACCTTGCCGCCCATCTCGACCATGGAAGGCCTTTTGACTTTCGGGGACCTCCAATGGAATGCACTGCTCCCGACCAAACTGACGGAGGCATCGATCCGGCAAGTGCCACTCCACGGTCCCAAAACAAATGAGAGGGACCCTCGTGCACCATTGGCTGATATGCTCGGGGAATTGCTGGAGATGCCATTGCACGATGTTCTCCGGGTATGGATCGAAGATGATCTACACGCGCAAAATGAGTAAATTAAGATAGTTAGAATTGGAAAAATACATGTCTCAATGGCAAAAAGGTATAAATAGATCGGAGTATAGAAGTTACCTCTCCTTCCCAAAGTCGCTCAAACCTCCGCCGATACTCATCCAACTTGTGTTGGGCAAGGTTGTCACAAGTGGAGTGTCCGATCCACCTTATTAATAAAACAATAATCGAAATTACAATAAGCTAAAACACAAGGGAAAATCAACCAAGAAAAAACATGATGGGTATGAGAAGTTTACCTTGCTCCATAAGCTTCCCCTCTTAGGGGATGATCGATTGGCCAATCCCGGTCGGGACGTTGTACCGGTGCAAGCCATGGCATATGCTCCCAAGCCCAAAATTGGACGATGAACATTGCGCCGTCGACCTCCCTCACAGCTTTTAGAGAGGCATTGCACAAGTTGTGGTAGATATTAGCTAGGCAAGCGGATGCCCAACTATACTTCCCCATCTCCTCCCAACTACCGAGGATGATCCTAAGCCATCCACAACTAAGGAGATTGCTTGCTTTTTTGGAGAAGAACACTCCTCCGATCATGCCAATGAGATAGACCCGAGCATATCTCTCGATCTCATCCTCCGGACTTTCCTCGGTTAGGGGATGACTCTCGTAATGCTCTCTAAAGTACCTCGTCAACCAAGTAATTGACACTTGGTGTTTCCTCATTGGTGGCAACCGATCGGTCGCATCAACATGCCCCTTCACCGGTAATTTTACTCCCAAAACACTATAGATGAAATGAACCCAACCGGGCATACCGTCGACATCGTCGGGGGCATGATCACTAACGCACACGGGTTTGCCGTCGATGGGGAGATGGGTTAGGATGGCGACATCCTTTAGTGTGATGGTGGCCTCTCCTTCTCTCAAGTTGAAGCAATGGGTCTCCTTTCTCCATCTCTCCACTAGGGCGGTGATGAGTTGGCGATCAACTTTGATGCCGTTAAAATGCCTAATCGAGTCCAATCGTGCCCTTTTGAGAAAGGGCAAGATGGCTGGGTGGAATGGGAGCACATTGGTCGTACCCCTGTAGCGGATTATTATTTGTGCCTCCTAGAGAAAATTTACACGTTAATTATTATATATTAGTAAGGGTTTAATCCTTATAACTAAATTACTTAAATTAAATTATTTAACTTCAAGCAGAATTTTATTATCATACTTTAGACATTTCATATAATTAACATAATAGCATTATAAATTAATAATAATAATTTAAAGAGATACATACATATTATCATAAAACGAACATCCTAAATTAATTAACATAATAACATTATAAATTAATAATAATTTAAAGAGATACATACATATTATCATAAAATGTCATCCTAAATTAATTAACATAATAACATTCTAAATGAATAATTTCATTAAGAGATACATACTAATTATCGTAAAATAAACATACTAAATTAACTAAATTAAATGACATTGTTAATGAATCAGTATTTTAAAGAGAAACATACATATTCAATTGTTTGAAATTAATAAAATTCCATTTGTACACATAAAAATAAATCATAAGGACTGTTTGGTAAATTATTTAATCGTTTTGGTTGTTTTAAATAATTTAATCGAATACAAAGCAACACTCGTTAGACTCTTAGAAGAGGTATACATCTTCTTAGAAACGCAGTCTTGTTGACAGAAAAAGGGGGGATCCGAGGATCTCTTAATACCCGATTTTCCCAGGGAATGGGAGGATATGATAATCGCTTAAAACCCCATTTCCTTAGACGTGCATCTCTTTATAAAGAGTCGAAGTAAGTGGCGCAATGTATTTGATTAAATTATTGAAAACAACCAACACAATTAAAAATTCAACATAAATTTATTTTATATTTTACTAAATACATTAACAAAATAAAAGAAGGACAAATGGTAAAGAATTGTATGTACCGGGTGAGCGTTCCAAACATCCCTTGACCGATGGTTGGGTTGGTCGTACAAGTCGGTTGGATCCAACGGTGCTTGCTCGAGATAATACCGTTGGTTGTAAATATCGACGTCCTCCGCAGCCTACGAGAAAATAACAACGAGGTTAGTAGATAGATTAATTAAAAAGCAAGATAAGACCAACAAAAATTAAACCCGAATAATGAGTACGTACCGCTTGAAATTCATCAACAAAAACTCCTTCTCCTTGCCACCAATCGGCCATTTTTTCGGCGCAATTCGGACAGAGCTTCGGCTCGGCTCGGCGTGTTTTGAGGAAAAAACCTAAGAAATGTTTTCTAATGGCAGATCGGACTTTGCCGCAACCAATAGACCACTATTTCCTAGGCTTTTGGGAGGGGGAGGGTTTAGAGAGATAAAACTTCGAGAGAGAAGGAAGAATGGGTTGAAGGTGTGAAGAAATGAGAGGGGGAGGGGGGCTATTTATAGTTTTTCAGATCGCAGGCTCCAGGGGCGAGGCGGTAATTTTGCCCCGCGCGGATCGCATTCTCCCAATGCGTTTTCCGCTTCCCCAGGCGCAGATTGCATCCTCCCAATGCGCTTTGACTGACACCGGCGCGGATCGCATTACCCGCGTGCGATCTGGGATCCAAGGCGCGGATCGCTCCGCTGGCGTGCGCTTAGCCGTTGGATCGGCTGTCAATCCGACGATCTGGTGGATCGCAACGCGTCCTCCCCAAATCGCATCAGTCTGGTGCGTTTTATATTGTGGATTGCACCCCTCTGATGCGTTTTACGTGTAGATCGCATATGTAAGGTGCGTTTTACATTTAAAACGCATCTTAGGGGTGCGTTCCATAAAATAAGGTGCTATTAGTGGAATTTTTTTTACATGGGTGCTATTTTTGTAATTTTTTTTAAAGGTGCTATTATTGGAAAAATTCCGAGTTTTTTCCCTTCTTTGTAGGAGAACAGGAGACGGGAGTTACATGATGCAATGATTTCTTGGAAAGAATTGAACAACTTTAACATATTTTTGCCTATTGACGAAGAAAAGTCCAACCTATCATTTCTCCCTCTTCCCTTTTGATCCGCAGCGGGCAATTGATCTTTCTTCCTTGGAGATATCTGACTACTAGCGGTTGACTAACTGAGTTATAGTCTTATTCCAATTCTTTTTCTTAATTTCTTCCAGATTACGACGACTGGATAGTAAATTCAGGTAGTTGTTTTATGGTTCTCTGTTATCCTGTATACTTTGATGTAAACATGTAACATATAATCCAAAGGATTTGTTGCTTGGACTTGGAGCATCTCTCCTTTGGTTGAATAATTGATCGTTTTCCTTGGAGGCCCATTGCAACACGATTCCTTGGATGTTAAAATGGAAAGCAGAGTTGTGAGGGTTGTTCATTATGTTTATTATGTTCATGAGTGACATGATACTAGC